TCCGGACGCCCCGCTCACCCTGGGTGCCCCATCCGGGGGGTGCGGCTCATCCGGAGCCCAGGCCCGAGCGGTGGGCAGTCAGCGCGTGAGCCCTAAAGACTATGAAGTAGCGGGGTGGTGGGGTGATCAAGGAAGGCATCTCGGCGGGGGTGGCCTTGGGGCCGAGCTCCGAATGGGACTGGGCAGGAGGCGGCCTGGGGAGGAGCTGGGGGTTCGAGGGTCCCAGGTGCAGTTACCGGAATTGGTAGAGGGGCCGAGCTGGGCAGAGCGGTGCGCTCCCGGGGAGCGGGCTTTGGCTGGCTTTGCTCCGGGGAGCGCCTCCAGTGGGAGTAGAATGGAGGCGTCTCCCTAGCAGTTCCCGAAGACCCCTGCCTGTGTGTTTGTTTATTTATTATGGCCAGCCCCCAGGGGTCAGGACCTCAGTGCAGTCCCTGGCCGTCAGTGCCATTAACAGGCGTTTGTGGAAGAAGGGACAAGTTTTTATTGAGTGTCTTCTGTGCCCAGGCACTGTTTTTGGTGCTGGGGACTCGTCGTGAACAAGGCAGCCTGTGTTCTTGGTGCTCAGCCCTGGCGGAGCCAGTCAACGCTGGCTGATTTTGAGCTTGATAAGTGAACAGGGTGTGCAAGGGCCTACACGGATGGAACCGAGAGTCACTCAGCAAACATTTTATGACCTGGCCCACTTCTGTCTCCTGACTTTCACTTTGACTTTTTTGAGGGGTTCTTAATTTCAAGAGGAACCACCCAAGGTCTGATTCTGAGGGTACTTGGGTGGGCCCTGTGGGGCAGCTGCCACATCATGGAGAAGTGACAGCAGGCGGCAGCCACAGTGGAGAGCTGTTCTGGTGGCCGGGCCCCTGGGCCCCAGAGGCGCTGGTGCTCGCCCGGCAGGTGTGTGCCTTGTCGGGGCTGGAAGGGCTGGGCTGCACTCTGAGGGAGACGAGTCCCTTATGTGTAGAAGAGATTTGTTCTATTCTCTTGGGGCTGAAACCAAGGAAGGCACTTTATACACCTCGATCTCAGCTGGAGCAAATGGTTTATCACGATCACGACTGTGCCTTTATGTCAGGCAGGAAAGTGTGTTTGTGTCCTTTTTCATGGAGTGTCAGTGAAAGAGAAAGTGATGTCTTGTTTTTGTTGTTGTTGTGGGGTGTGGAACCCAGGGCTTCCTGCTAGCCCTGCAGGTGCTGTGACACTGAACCCAGTACCCTTCTTGATTTTTTCCAGAAGGCAAAGGAAACTAAAACACTAAGCCAAGTGTTTGTGGTGGGGTTTCCAGGGTGCCCGTGGGCTGTCGGGCTGCGTGGATGTCTAGGCTGAGTCCCAGCTTTCCCTGCTCCTGTTCCGTGTTTCTTAGTGACTTCACAGGGTTGGGGCACGGATGTCACCAGGCCTTTCTGGCTCGAGGATACTTTTTCTTGAGTGACGTTTAGAGTGAAGGGAAGAGGGCTTGTCAAGGGTTTCCATAGTGACAATCAGTGGGAAGACCTTGGAAAGCGGTTGTACCACTACCCAGAGGGACTCTGGAAGGGAAAGAGTTGCTTCCTTTTGTCAGGGTTCTCAGTCCAAGAAGTTTCCTCTGGCAGCTGGGGACAATTGACAGTGCCAGCCCTATACTCTCAGCACAAGTCTCCTCTGCTGGTCTTAAAAGGAAGCTGGGTTAATAGGTGTGGTATGCCATTGACTGAATTAGGGTGACTGCGACCCTGAGGGGAAAGAAACCTCAAAACTTTGCAAGATAGGGCCGGGGATTTAGCTCAGTGTTTCAGTGGCCTGCCTTGCAAGCGCAAGGACCCGAGTTCAATCCCCAGTACCAAAAAAACACCCCCCAAAAAAAACAAAAAAAAACTTTGCCAGCTGTGGTGGCATACCCCTGTAATCCCAGCCCTCGGGAGGCTGAGGCAGGAAACTCTCCTTGAGTTCAAGGCTAGCCTGGGCTACATAGTGAGTTCAAGTCCTGCCTGAACTACATAGTAAAATCCTGTCTCAAAACAAAAAACAACAACAAAAAAAACTTTATAAGATCACCCATGCAACAGAAAAGCTATGTAACTGGGGATGGATGTGTAGTTCAAATCCAACCATTGCCACAGAAATGTAGCTCTTTACAAAAACTCTGCTGTTTGTGAAACCATAATGAGCAATTAGGGTTAAGTAGTGCTTGCCACTGAAGAAACTTTGAACCTGAGGTGTGGTGTCACACGTGGGCGGCTTCTGATGCACAGCTTCCTTTTCATTTCTTTCTTCCATACACAGAGGTTGTGTGTGATTTGCTGGGAGCTTGGAGGTGGTTACTTTAGATTGTGTGACCTCAGGAGTGAGCCAGAGTGTGGTAGACAGAGGTGACATTGGAGTTAGCTTCCTTCTTGTTAAGTCTTTTACATTTTTGTCTTCTTTTTTTTGGCTTTCTTTTTTGGTGCCAGGGATTGCACTTGGGTCCTTGTGCTTGTGAGGCAGGCGGCAGAACCACTGAGCTAAATCCCTGGTCCTTGTTAAGTCTTTTAAAAATTAAAAAAACTCAGTAAGAGTCGAGACTCTGAAAGTAGGCCTTTCTCAGGCGGGTCAAGCAGTTGTACCTTGAGTTGTCCACATTATGTTTTGAGCATCCAGAACCAACTCTAGACAGAACAGAGATCAAACTTTGTCCTTAATGTCTTTTCACATGAATAATTAATGTTTTATTATAAAAGTAGTATTTGGGGGGCCGGGGATTTAGCTCAGTGCTTCTGCTGCCTGCCCCCCGCCCCTCACCCAAAGTAGTATATATCAATTTGGGGGCATTTGGAAAACATGAGGATAATATACTATTTTGCATAATCCCAGTACGTGCAGCTGACTCCTTAACTTTTGTTTAGTATTTAAACTGCTTTTCCTGTACATCATGACTCTTCCTAATTTTATTAAGTATTCTTTTATTTTACTTTTTCTTTGCTGGGGATTGAGCCCAGGGCCTTCCCAATGAGGTATATCCTTTTATATTTTTTACTTCAAGACAGGGTCTTGCTAAATGGTAAATTGCCCAGGCTGGGTTTGAATTTGTAGTTCTCCTGCCTCAGTCTCACAGATTGCTGGGATTACCGATGTATCCCATATACCCAGCCTTTTGTTTTGTTTTGCTTTTGAAACAGGGCCTCACATTCTAGTCCAGGCTGGTCTTGAACTCCTCTTTGAAAATCCCTTGCTACGTTGCCTAGACTGGGCTCAGACTTATTAACTTCCTGCCTCAGCCTCTCAGAGTAGTGGGATTACGGTTCTGTGCTAAACTATATTTTTTTCTCTCTTTTTTTTAAGTCCATGTGTGTCGTACATAATGTTTACATTCCTTGTGTGGAGCTGGTCCATGTACACAAGACATCTTAATCCCTTTTCCCAACTCCCCTCCCTCCCAAACTGGACTTTTATACATTATTAAGGTGTATTGTCCAGTTCCCACATCGCAAAGTTAGTTTCACTCGTGATTAGAAAGTGTGCTTTGTCAGGCAGCCATCATTACAGTCCAGTTCTAGAACATTCCACCACCCCAGTGAGGTGCCCATTCCCACAGCTGGGTGATCCTCATTGCTTCCCAGCCATCAGCTGCTGCCAGTCAGCCCCCTGACTTCTCCTGTTATGGACCCTTCCTGTACATGGTGCCTGGTTCTGTTCATTGCTAAGTAGTATTCCACGGGATGGGTATAGTCAACTTTCTTTAACCCTTTCCTATTGTTGGATTTGGGGTTGTTAAATTTTCTCTGTCCTGGAGGCTGATATTCTTTAAACTTTTAACTATATTTGTGTTGTTTTTCCTTATATTAAATTTCTTCATGGGATATTTCTGGGTGGAAGGATATTTTGGGGGCTTTTTTGATAACAGCTGTCAAACCTCTGTCCAGAAATCAGGTCAGTTTTGACTCCCATCCAGTAACATACAAGAAAGTACTCCTCCCCAAATCCTTGCCAAACATATTTTATTTTAGAAATAAATTTTGATGGGTATGGTGGTACATGCCTGTAATCCCAGTACTTGGAAGGCTGAGACAGGAGGATTGCCACAAGTTCAAGGCCAGGCTGGATTATACAGTGAGCTCAAGGCCAGCCCGAATTACATAGGGAAACTCTGTCTCAAAGCACCAAAAGAAAAGAAAAGAAAAGAAATAAATTTAGGGCTAGCAGTGTAGGCAGTGGCAGAGCCCATGTTTAGCATGAGCAGGGCGCTGGGCTTCATCCTCAGCACCAGAAATACAGGTAAGTGATACAAATTACAGCAGTCTGTTTTTAAATTGTAAGGCAGTTTTTTTTTTTTTTCATCCTTTTCTCAGCTCAACCAGAATGTAAGTTCTTTTCAAAGAAAATTTGTTGGTGAGGTGAAAAGGTGTGAAGAACTCGATCGGATATTGGGTAAGTTTATTTTGCATTTTAATAATATGTACAATTGTTACCTAAGCTAACCTTGTTTATTTTAGAAAAGTCAGAGATTGTAAACTGAAAGAAAAGAAGCTAGTTTTTGTTTGTTTGTTTGTTTTTTTGGTTTCTTGAGACAGGGTCTCACTATGTAGTTGAGACTGACCTGGAACTCACTATGTAGCCCAGGCTGGTCTTGAACTCACAGCGATCTCTTGCCTCAGCCTTTCGAGTGCTGGGATTACAGGTGTGCGTCACCATACCTGGCTACTGTCTCTGTCTTGGTCTCTGTCTCTTTTTTTTTTTTTTTTTTTTTTTTTTTTTTTTTTTTTTTTTTGTGGTACTGGGAATTGAACTCAGGTCTTTGTGCTTGCAAGGCAGGCAATGGAACCACTGAGCCAAGTTCGAGGCCCGAGAAAGCAGTTGTTCAAGTACACTCTCTGCAGATACTTACATGCATTTTGTGTTTTTCTGTTTTTTTTTTTGAGGCAAGTCTCACTATCTATGTAGCCTTGAACTCAGTGGCAATCCTCCAGCCTCAGCCTCCTGAGTGTTGGGGTTACATACCTGGGATTTGTGCACATTGTTTTTCATCCTTTTTTTTTTTTTTTTTTTGGTACCAGGGATTCAACTTGGGTCCTTGTGCTTTCAAGGCGGCCAGCGGCAACACTGGGCTAAATCCCCAGTCCTTTTCATCCTTTTTATTATTCATCTAGAGAGGTAAGGATTTGCACACATAAGAGTCAGCTTATTTTGTCATCAGCTTGTCCTGTCTTTAGTAGCTTTGAGGGCCACTCAGGTTCATGCGCTTCTCTCTGGCTGGATCGAAGGCCGTTTATCTTGGGCAAAAGGAAGGATTCGTTCCAGCCAGCTCTGAGGGGATAGGTGGAAGCCAGTTTGCCTCCGCTATGGCCCTTGGGGCAGAGGCACCTTCAGGGAATCCTCTTTCTAGTGGGAAGGAACCTGGGCTGCAGCCTCCTGGACGGCACCTGTGTATCCTGTCACTCCTGTGTCACCTCATCTGGTGAGGAGAGGAGAGGAGAGTCTGTTGGCCGTGTGCCCTGCAGGAGAAAGTTTGGAGAAGCCGCTTATCTCAAAAAGAAAAAAACAAATCGAGCTTCTGAAGCTCCATTTTGCTGGGCCTGTCGCAGTGCATCAGTGTCACCAGGCCAGGCTCCAGGAAGCCCCCTGGAGCTTGCTCTCTGCACTGCACCAGGCTGGGTGGCACAAGGGAGGCCCGACTGGGAGGGGATGGGCAGCCCTTAGCAGAGTTGCTGCTGGCGGGCTGGGCCCTGCTTGGCCCCCGCTCTGTTCTGGCATCTCCTGGTGGCCTTAGAGTCCTTAAGTGGCTGAGAAGGTGATGTGGTTGTGGGATGGCTGCTTCTGCTTGGGGCCAGTCTGTTTTCCTGTCTCTGCTGGAATCCCGGTGACCACAGGCAGGGACAGGGACAGGGACAGGAGAGTTTGCTTTTCGGGGCGGGGATGAACAGAAAGCCTGAGGGTGGGCAGAGAACGAGGCTATGGAGTGATCTCTGAGCCGGCGTTACTGTAGATGCTACTACTTTTTGGGGTTGGTGGTACCGGGGATCAAACTTGGGTTTGATTTAGCTCGGTGGTGCCCCCGAGCTAAATCCCCTGCCCTAGATGTTATCTTTTAATTGGGATTTTAAAGATGAATATAAAAGTGGCGCCACTGTGCTGGCTCGTGGTGGGTGTGGGGCACTGGGCAGTGGGCTGGGGTGCAGGATTTAACATAGGGCACAGGCAGGGGCACCAAACACATCTAAGGCTTCCTGTAGTGTAAACTTGTTTCAGACTTAGACAAGGGGCTCATGTGAATTTAGAAGTAAATTGAGTTAAGTGATTTTCATTTATTTCTGAAAACCTCTTAAACCCAGTGCCTTTTGGGAGTGGGGAGGGTTCAGACACGGCCCAACCTGGCCTCGAACTCACGGCAGTTCTTCTGCTTCAGCCTCCCAAGCACTAGAATTACAGGTGTGCAGCACCACGCCTGGCAAACCCAGTGCTTCTTTTGCTACCGAGTTGGTAATACATAGCTGCCTTCTTTCATCCCTCTCTCCTTCCAGCATTCCTCTCTTTCTTTTCCAAAATAGTGATCAGTAAGGGCTCTACCAGGTATTGTGACTTCTAGGCTCAAGAGAAGGACTTTTTTTTTGGAGTGAGGGGATTGAACCCAAGGCCTTTGCACTGAACTACATCTCCAGCCCCTTTTAAAATGTATTATTTTTATTATTATTACTGCTGTCCCACTTCCTCAGTCTCATTTATCCAGCTTCCGTTTACTCGGTAGCTACCAGGCTGCAGCCCTCTTTTCCCATCCAGCCCAAAATGTTAATTCCAGTTTAATCAGAAGCAAAACAGCCGAGTTGGTGGTGCATGCCTGCTATTCCAGTAGTCTGGGAGGCTGAGGCAGGAAGATCACAAGTTTGAGCCCATCAGAGATAATTTAGCATCTTAGCAAGACCCTGTCTGAATGAAAAACCAGGGCCGGGGATTTGGTTCAGTGGTTCCACCGCCTGCCTCGCAAGCACAAGGACCCGAGTTCCATCCCCGGTACCAAAAAAAAAAGAATAAAAAAACCAAATGGGAATCTTGTTGTCCTGGCCACTGTCATCGTGAGTGATTGTCACTGTGTGGCTGGCGGATCATCCACACACACCCTAACCTTAGGGTCTCACTGAGTCACTTAAGTTGTCCAGGCTGGGCTGGAACTTGCCGTCTTCCTGCCTCAGCCTCCCAAGTGCTGGGATCTCAGGCGTGCCCTACCACAAGACTCCTGATGTCATGGAAAACATAAACTTGTAGTTCCAGGAGCCCCGTTTCTCATTAGATGGTGAAGCTGCATGAGCGGCTCCGTGCAGTGCCGGATGGTTTTAGGGCAGTTTTGCCCCCCGAGGAGAGGGTCTCCTGGATGCCAGCTCTGCCTCAGGACCGCAGAGAAGCCATGTGGCTGGCTCTTGGGGACAGTTACAGGTCGTTGCTTGGATTATTTCCACATTTGCAAGTGTCCCCAGTGTTCCTCCCCAGTCTATGGGGCAGAGTCTCCAAAGTCCCTGAACCCCAGTCTAGGAACAAAAAGAACGGGAGGACTGGAGCACGTGTTTATCCAGAGTGTTGTCTATTTGGCCATCCCGGGCCGTCTCTCTGGGTAGCTTTGCAGATCTTAGGGATGAAGTTGCAAGAAGCGGCCCATAGTTGGGACAAAAAGAGTTTTGTGTATTCAAATGTGGGGATTTAGAATGTTGTGACTGAAATGCACTGCGAGGGTTTTTTTGAGTCAGGGTCTTGCTTTGTAGTTCAGGCTGGAGCCTGGGCTGGCCTTGAAATTGCGACGATCCTCCTGCCTCAGCCTCCTGTGCGCTACCATGGCCTTGGTAGGTTTTTGTATCTCATTTGCTTCCCTCTTATTTTCACAGTTTATCTGGTGCAGGAAATCACTAGAGCGGATATTCCCCTGCCTGAGGGAGAGGCCAGTCCTCCTGCACCGCCTCTGAAGCAGGTTCTAGAAATGCAGGTAACGACCCTGAGGATGCTGGTGGTTTTGTTATTGTTTTGTTTTGGGGGAGTGTTTGGAGATTGAACCTAGGTTCTTTATACTGAGCTACACCTCCAGCCCTTAAAATGTTTTATTTCTTGCTAAGTTGCTAAATTGGCTAGGCTGGGCTGGAGCCTGTCGTCTTCTTGCCCAGCCTCTGAGAGCTGGGATGGCAGACTCGCGCCATCAAGCCTGGCCCACTCTCTTTGAGGATGTGAGCTGGGGCTCCCTTGCAGGTGCTGGCATCCAGAGGCCCACGGGAAGTTGGCCGTGACACCTGCCGTGTGACGTTTGACAGCGTGCATTCTGGGATCCTCCATGGCCTGGGCAGTCACGTCCTTCCCAGACACACCCCCCTCCCCCGCCGCTGCTGCCCTGTGAGACCCATGCTGGGCTCGCATATTAGCGTCTCTGAGACCATCCTGTGAGGGCCCTTCTGATCCTCTTCTGCTTTATTTCTCTGAGAAATGGGCAATTCCCTGTCATTCTCTACTTATTTTTAAATTTTTAAATTTTTGGGATTCTTTTGAGATAGGGTCTTGCTACTTAGCCCAGGCTGCCGTTCAACTCATGGTGATCCTCCTGCCTCAGCCTCCCGAGTGCTGGGATGACAGGTGTGCGCCACCTGCCTGGCCCTCGTTGCTCATTTTAAGCTGTGGGTGTGGTGTAGCTGGGGCCCCTCCCTGGCAGCTGCTGTGCTTGCCCGTCTGGGAGGAAGTCACTTCCGGTGTGGCCTGTGTGTGGACTCAGGAAGTCAGCCCAGCGCGGCCCGTCAGGAGCAAATAGCAACTGTTCTTTGTACTTTTATAAGGCGGGCAGCAGGAACGAGGGCGAGGGCGTGTGTTGTGTTGGATGGTTTGTTTGAATAGAGATGATCGCTGGTTCAATGTTGCACTCTATAGATGCTTTGTGTCTTTTGCTTTAATGCTGAAGTACTGGTCAGATTTGTTCTTAGTGATTTTAATATCTGCTTAATTCTTTCAATTGCAAATGCACAGAAACTCTTAAACTCTAGGGAAATGTAAGTTTGGAAAAGCTGGTGTAAGTTTTTTCTGTGTTGGAGATCCGAGGACAGAGACTTGGCACAGGGCAGAGGTGGCGAACCTGTGGTACGAGAGCCGCAGCAGGCTGCTTGAAGCATTGAGATCGCAGAGGTTTGCCATCGCAGCAGGGGGAGTGGGCAGGCATATGGAGGAAAGGGAAGAGGACACAGACCCAGGAGGGGCCTTGAGTTACTGCCGCTCTCGGGAGTTTCACACCTTGTCGTGTGGATGCTGTAGGGGTTACTATGGGCCTTTCAAACTGCGACGTGTTTGCACAAACTTACCTCAGTACTGGCCTTTTAAAAATGCTCCTGACGGGCTGGGGATTTAGTTCAGTGGTGCTGCTGCCTGCCTCGCAAGTACAAGGTCCTGAGTTCCATCCCTGGTACCAAAAAGAAAAATTGTCACTGGCTTTGGTATCCCATCCAAGATTAGTAGCCATGGGGTGTGGTGACACATTCCTGTCGTCCCTGTGATTTTCTTTCCCCTTTTTTTTTGCAGTGCTGGGGATTGAACCTAAGGCCTTTTCACTGAGCTACATCCCTGGCCCCTGCCTCCCTATGTTTCTTTTTATTTTTGTATTTCAGACAGGATCTCATTAAATGGCCCAAGCTAGACTTGACCTTGCGAGCCTCCTGCCTCAGCCTCCCAGAGCGCTGGGGTGATGGGCATGGGCGGCCACCCCCAGTCTAGTCCATGCTGTTATGTGGACTGCTGTCTTATTGTAGGAGCAGCTGCAGAAGTTGGAGGTGGAGCTTCGAGAAGTCACCAAGAACAAGGAGAAACTGAGGAAGAACCTGCTGGAGCTGATTGAGTACACCCATGTGCTGAGGGTGACGAGAAGCTTTGTGAAGCGCAGCACTGAGGTCTGCAGTGGTTCTGGGCTGGGGCGGGCACTGCTCTTACAGAAACCTCCTCCTCAAAGGCTGGGTTTTGTCACCAGTTCATGTAGATGCGATGTTTCGAAATGAGAAGTTCCGAGTCAAGCTGCCTTTTTCATTGCGATCATGTGACACTGTGAAGAGCTTGGCCCAACTTGCCCTGCGATGGTTGTTTGACCCATAACCATACTTATTTCTTTTTTTTTTTTTTTTTTTTTTCGGGGTTGGAC